TCCATCATTCACCAGTAGAAAATCCCATAATCATGGTAAAGCAATAAGCTCCTCCTCTTGTCCCGCCCACTTTGTGGGGCACTGATCACCCCTCATAGCGGAGGCAGCGCTGCTCTGTCCTCCTCAGACAGCGGACAGAACCTGCCGGATGTACCGATGGCTTTGCTCCCTGCTCACTTCCCGGTGATGTTGGCGTGTGTTTCTGCTTATTGGTGCCATCCTGCCGGCGGTGTGTCCGGTCAGAGCGACTGACGGTGGATGTTTGGCAGCAGGGATGCGCTCCGGCTTGGCTTGTTTCTTCAGACATTAACGGCGCTTTAAAAACACCTCCACCAGTGCTGGAGTGAGAACCGACTGGTAAGTTGAGTTTGGCCACTGATGTGGGCTCAATGTCTGCATCATGCTGACCTCAGTTCAGATTATTTTAAAATAAAAAGAATAAAAGACACTTCTTTATTACATATGGGTTAAATTAGATTGAATTCGCTTCGTTTTGTATACAAATAAAAAAGAAAAAAGTGCTGAAAAGAAACTCATTTTAGTTCTGCTTTTTTATGAGCAATTTTCATTTCTATTTTTATTATTGCATCGTAACTTAGGAGCGCGCGCACATCTCGCGTCATTAACACGTGGATGAGCAGCGCGCGCACACAGAGAGACGCTCCCCATTCACAGTCTTATAACTGAATTATTCACATCTGGATTCATTCAATTTATCAAGTTATCAAGTCTTTCCACACATTGGGACAAAATGTATTAAACAACAATCATTTAAAGAGAAACCCCACGAGAATTATTTCGTTAATGAATAAACACTCAAATGTAACACAAAGTGCTTGTTTAGTCAAGTTAATGGAACAATTATCTCTAACCCGCAAACCTTAATTAGTTGACTGTTATTATTTATTGGATGGATAAAATAACAAAATATAGACAGATTGCAATCAGTAACAAAGAAAAAAAAAACACACAAAACAACCACAAAAAAAACCCAAAACAAAAAATAAAAATGTTACTAAATATGACTTTTTTTGTCAATGTCTCTTTTTTATACATTACTTCCTTTACCAACGTATTTAGATATTTACACAGAATGTAATTACAAGGCTTTGTTTTGTAATTTGTATGTAGTCGACAAATTAAAACATAAAAAAAAAAACTTTAAAAGCCTTTATATTTTACTTTAACTTTACAAAACTAATTAATGCATGTTCAAGAAACGTTTAGCTTTTTTTTCAATGCACACAAAAAGCACTTTTGGTGTTATGTGACATTTCTTTCAACATCAATTAGAGAGAGTTAAGAATAACAAAAGATCAGATCCATTTATTTTCCTTTCATGTCTGCTGCAGTGAATGGGATTCATTCATTTGGCTTTAAAAGCGTCTCTGAGTAAAATATATGACAGCAAAAACAAAAGGGCTAACTTGCCATGTCATAGTGGGCGACATTTAATTCACTCCCTCTCTCTTCTCTGTTCTCAGTATTTGCAACATTTAAGATGTCAGGTTGGTGTCTGTTTAATACGTTCTTAAAACTTTGCTTTAAAATTAAAAATACTGGACTTGTTATATTTCATAAGGGATTTGAAAGAAACACTATATTGAGTTTTAAAGAACAAGCCTTATTTCCTTGCCTTCTGTTTTTTTTTTTTTATTTAGGGTCACCAGATTATTTCTGTTAGCCAGTTGCCAGAATAAATATTATTTGATAAAAAATAACTTTATTGCTTTTTAGGAGTCAGACGTTTACATATGTCTGTCTACCTTCAAGTGATTTTGGAAAAACGCGATTATGCTATGGGTTGGCTGATAGGTTTACAAGTTAGATACATGGATTTGGATGTATTTTAAAGAAATCCCTCAGAAGGTAAAGTCTCTATGATCCTTGGGTATTTTTTAGACACCTGAATTTCTCACCTGTTGAATCAATATATCAAACCACATTACAGTTCAGAAAGTAGAAGGTCCTCCATGCAGCATACTACAACATCCAAACTAGGCCCTTGAAGTATGTTTTTGTTGGACTGGAAACCAGTCCAGAGGGACTTGTAGAGATAAGCTTGGAACATTCAATCAAAAGTTTATCAGCAGCATTTTGAGCAAGTTACAGAAAATCAACTTTGTTTTGTTAAGACTAGTGATGAATGAATTTAGAAACTCCTATGCAAGAGAAAATGAATAAAAAAAAATTGCAATACCCATATTTGCTGTGGATATTGGAGCATTCAGTTTGTTTGATGCTAAAAACAAGAATAATGTTTGGTATACATTCAAATATGGGCCAATGATTTTTAATGGTAGTTTAATGTGTGAGATAAAAAAATGTGATTCAAAAACAGTCTGAGGAACCAAGGCAGACATTAGAACATCCTACAGTCTTTCAAATTCACCAAAAAGTAATAAAGATGTTGGTTTCATCAGTATAGCAGTTATAGCACATGTTCCCTGAATCTTAAAAGATGATCTTAAAAGATTATATAAGGAGAGAAGAAAGCAATAAAAAGGGGCCAAGGAAAGAACCATGTGGAACCCCATGGTTCATTTGGAATGGGAGAATATTCGTGTCCAGTCATAGAATCTAAATGCTGGGCTCCTGTATTTGTCGGCTAATATGTGTGATTTAGTCCCTTTATGCTGATAATATAAGTGGTAGGAAGAAGAACAAGGTTCATCAACCTTGGACGTCTTGTGCAAAACATTACCTATTGTCACTCATGTGCATAACACATGCCAACTACTGTGTAGCCTGTGTAATAATTTACTTATTTTATAAGGTCAGTACATCTCTGCAGTACACTAAGTGCAATACTCCAAGTCAACTGTGTAGACTTTCCTTAGCTCTCTACTTGCAGGTTTTTTATATTTAAAGGAAACACGTTCCATGACATTACAACTTTTTATAATTTTTTTTTGTACAATACACACTCTTTTTGTATTGTCTGTTGTATTCTTATCTTTAAAGGCATCTTGCTTTAACTCTGCCCGTTGTACTCTACTGGAGCCAGAATCTCTCTGAAGGTGTAATCCCAAGGGATAAATAAAGTTGCGTCTAAGTCTAAATGCAGCAGTATATTTGACTACGTCCAAAATCCTGTGGGCTGCTGTGCTGCTTGCATGAATTAGAAAGACAGAAGTTTCAGGAAATGTTGGTTTGTCACAGTTTTCTGAAGTGATCTAATGAAGAACAAGAATTTTAGTCGTGTTTTTCACATTAGGTTCGGGAGCCAGTTGTCAAGTCTCTAATTTCACTTTCAGGTTTTTTCCTCAGCTTTCATGACATTTTACTAAAAGGTTAAGAAAAACAACCTCCTGTTGAATTCCTCTGTGTGTTTCTGAGCTTTGTCTCTTGTGAAACCTCCCGTGCTTCCAGACTTCACTCTGCTTGAATAAGTAGATCACTTTCTACCGAGCCACGGCATCAGGTTCTGCGTTTTCACTCCTCTTGTATAATGAACTGACTGGTGGCGTTCTGATGATTCGGCTCTCATCCAGTGTTGTGAGAGCAAGTTCCGAGCCGTCGTTCTACTTTTCCAGGTGGATCGTGTACCCAGTTAGTGTTAGTGGAGAGGGAACCAGACCCTTGTGGAATCCCATTGGAGTGGGCATAGCATGAGGAGATTTGTGATCTTTTACCACCTGTTGACAGATCCTGTAAAATGCATTACATTTTCCTCCTCTTCGAATAAATTCTGGGCTGCGGTGCAACTCTGCTGCTCTGGTCCTCTAATTGCTGTTGACCCTCACTGTGTTCGTTTGATTGGCATTGAGCTGCGGTTTCTCCAATGCACAGTAGACTTTTTCTGTAGCGACAGCTTGTGCATAATTCTCCCTCCTCCGCTCTGTGCAGCTTCACTCCTGCCCAGCCTGGGGTATAAATAACTACATGGAAGAAGCAAATCTCAGCTAAAGCCCAGTGCTCTGTGGTACATCAGCACTTTGGGCAGGGCCAGTCTGGGATAATATGGTTCACTTATCATCTTTACCTCTACTGATGTTGAGTGAGTTTCCCTAGCAGCCAGTTTCTATCTCTTTCTTTTTTTTTTTGTTAAAGCAAACTGATGCATCAGATGTGAATTACAGATCCTCTGTTTCTCATTTTAGCAACATAAACCTGCTCTTTAATATAGCATGACCCCTAAAAGGTACAGAAACAAAAAGGCTAACAAAAGAAATAATATACAATGATTAGGACAGAGCAATTGTTGACCTCTAATTAACATGGGGGCACACAAACTCCATGCAGAAAGGCTGGATATTGAACACAGGACCTCCTCGCTGCAAAGCACAGCCAATGCAGCCCACTTGGGCAAACATTTAGTAAAGCTCGGTGAGTGAATATTTGTGACACGTACCAAACTGCTTCTCACAGCAGCTGTTTTTTTTTTTTCCTTTATAGTCCTGCAGGAAAAACACTTTGGTTGACAAGAACAGGAAGGGACAAAAGTGTGAACTATGAAATGCAATAGTGTGAAACGCTAAGCCCACAGCTGGTTCATCTCAGCTGACAGGTATTAATACAAGGCCTGGGCCATTAATTGATTTCATCAATTAATCTGTTTTTTTTGGTTTGTTTGTTTCTAACCAATCCACTCCTTGGGCTTCCATAGTTCAGAGTGACATTAGTTAATCACTTTTTGTTCTTAGATGTGTACTTATAACAGATGAATTATCCCACATTATAATATTGCTGCAAACATTTCGTCTTTTATATTTTGATTGTGTGTTTTGAAACATGGTTTCACAGCTCAAATGTCATTGCCCTTTAAATAAAGGTCACCTTTTAGAGGGGATGGTTGAAGTCAAAGCTAGTTTTTTAAAGTACTACATCATATTTGTCATTGATTTTATAATACTTATACAAGAAAATAAGTCGACTAATCATATTAAGTAGGAAAAAGTCTGACATCAGATTTTTAAGCCATGTCGCCCAGCTCTAATATATACAGAAGCAAATTTCCATTCAGTTTTTTAAAGCTGTCATTTCAACTTACCTTTTAGTTAAAATAAACACAAAACAACCTCAGATTTTAATGTCAATTTATGCTCTTAAAAACAGCCAAAAATACTTTCATCACCAGTAGCCATGAAGACAAGGAGTAATTTGTATGTAGGAGCCATGGATGGATGAATATGAGATGAAGTGAGGTTATTTCACCCCCCCTCAGGGCTCCTCCAGTCACACGGCAGGAGGAAGCACGACCAGGCCTGCAGCTCGGAGGCCGTTCCACCTGAATGCTGAAACAGCAGAGACAAGTCCTGCAGTCTGAGACATGACACCTAAGCATCCACTGAAATCCTTATATATATGATAGTATATATTTCTGTTATATAGTGCATAAAGGTTGATCTTAGATTTATAGATGCTGCTGTTTGACTAGATCTGTACCATAACCATCAGGTTGTTGTTTTTTGCTGCCTCTTTGACAGTGACTTTAGGGACATAAAGAAAAACAGGTTAGAGAAATAATAAAAAAAAAATGCAACAAAAAGTATGGAGGTAATTTTTCACCCATGTTTTCATTTCCAACCCTATTATGTCTCGTGTCTATACAGGTCTTATTCCTATATAGCCACTGGTACATTCATCTAGCCTAATAAAAAAAAACTTGCATCATTCTAAGCCTTATTTAACACACAATTATGCCTTAGATTTTAGATGGTATTATGTTGAATTGGTGATAAAATGTTTGTTTTTTTCTGTCTATTCTCAACTATTGTCTTTCTATATCCAGCCTGAATTGTTTAAAAGCCTGTAATAAAGCAGTCATCTGAAAGTAAGCAAACATACATATCTTGGTAATCATAACTGACCTAAAACAGGGAAGGTTTAGTTTGATTTAATGTACTTTTTCTGTAAATAACTCTATTTTGCAGTCTGGTCACGGGCCAACATGATTATAGCCTCTTTGTTGGTTACAAGGTTGGTAAAAAATTTCATAATTTTCCATAATCTTGGTATATGAATGTTGAATAAAAGTGTCACAAGACTGGAGCCTTGGGGAACTCCACGTGTCATTTTTGTCTGTTGTCAAATACTTTGTCTGTCATACAAAGTATGGTGATTATAATAGACAACACTAAGATCAAGGTACACCAGTACAGAGATTTTAGATGTATTTAAAATGTTAAAACTGATTAATTGCTTTGGCTTGGTCAGAAAACTGATGGTAGGCAAATGTAGAGATTGTTTTTTTTAATGATCTTTGCCAAAAATGCCAGGCTTTCTACAGGTCGGTTATAATGTATTTATTCAGGAAGACTTTTAATCAGTGTATTTTTTTAGGGCCTGAATTTATGATTAAACTGAAAACAATTTAGTTTAAAAGAACAATAAAATTGTGTCTTGATGTCTTTCAGGAGCTGTCTGGTGGGCCCTACTGTGCTATGGTTCTAAGAACCTGAAGTTTCTCCCTTACAGAAAGCTTTTCAATCCCATCTTGAATCCTACTTGATTCCTCGATGGGTTCCCGTAGCCAGAGCTTCTTCCATAACCACCATCACCACCACCATCGCAGCTCCATGGTGCCCGCCACAGTGCCAAGGCTGCTGCAGGAGACTGGGAGTCTGCTGGGGGGCATTGCTCAAATCACACCAAACCTTTTTCTCAGCAGAGGGAATGTAGCTTCCAACCGCAGCCTGCTTCTGTCCAAAGGCATCACCTGCGTGGTCAACGCCACTATCGAGCTGCCCAACTTCAACTGGCCACACATGGAGTATGTGAAGGTCCCGCTGGCAGATATGCCTCACTCGCCCATCTCCTTGTATTTTGACAGCGTGGCCGACAAGATCCACAGCGTCGGACGCAAACGAGGTGCTGTGCTGGTGCACTGCGCGGCCGGGGTGAGCCGGTCGGCCTCGCTGTGCTTGGCGTACCTGATGAAGTACCACCGCGTGTCTCTGGCTGAAGCCCATGCTTGGGTCAAGGCCCGCCGTCCTGTCATCAGGCCCAATGGGGGCTTCTGGCGCCAGCTGATCGATTATGAGAGGAAGCTGTTTGGCATGAACTCTGTTAAGATGGTGCAGACGCCCTACGGTATCATACCTGATGTTTACCAAAGGGACCGCAGGACCCTCGCTCCTTACTGGGGCCTGTGAACATCTGTGCTGCCCGTCCGTTCACAGTGAGGGATTAAGGTGACTTTAATCCGCAGTCCTGGCAGGCTGAGACCTGTTCCTGTCAGGTGAAGTAAGATGTGTGATTGTAGATGTTTCTGAAGCATATTTACCGAAAAAGAACAAAGGAAATGTAACCAAACGATGTTGATCGATGGTGCTGCTGTTTAGCCTAGGAGTTTGAAGCAAAGCAACTTAAAGCCTAAAATACGTCAACCCCAGTGATCCGATGGTACCATGCTGGACTTAACACCCACATTATAAAGATTTTAAAGGTTCAGTTTCCTGGTGTGCTGTCCCCAGTGCCAGAGAAGACAAGCAACGCTGAGGGGGTGTTTAATGTTCCCGAGCCCCTGCAGCTCTGACAGTGATGTCCCTTTCCTGACGTGGTGTCATGTGGTGATATTGTGTCAGTTTCCCAGTGATATTTAATGTGAAGGGCAGCAGCATGCTCTGAATTAATGGTAGCATTAAAGAAAAGTCTGCAGAAAAATAAAACACAGGCAAAATGCTCTGTTGCTATATACTGATAGTGGGGGGGATAGGGGTGGGTGGGGGCTTATGGAGCACTTTATTCAAACGTTCAAAGATGTTGTGTCTATCTTTTTATGAAGGAGAAATGTAAGGAAATGTGTGAGCTAGAGATGAAGGTTTAGCAAAAGCTCCTGTGTAACACAGGGTTGACCTTTCCATCCTGTTACCACACTATGTTATTGTAGTGCTATTGATGCTGTAATAAAAAGGAATATCTACTGCTTTAATGAAGGGATATGTTTGTGGTGAATATTTCTATCAAAACCTACAGGACTTGGATCCACATCAACTGTGTTTTTTATTAAAGTTACAGAGGTGTAAGAAAATCTCCCATTTTAAGACGAGCTATAAAAACATGTATCCTGTGCAAATGAACTGACTTACAAACATTAGAGGTCTGTTGCAAATTTGTCTTTATTTCTAGAAACTTGAGCCTCTGTTATTTTGTTGCATGTTTTTACTATTTCAGTGAAAACTAAAGAAATCAATTAAGATAACAAGCAAAGCTAGAAAAAGCTGATCACATAAGTCTCCACACCCCTTAAAGTTCACATCTTCCACCTGTTATAACAAAAAAACTGCTATACTGATTAACTAATTGATCTAAAATATAGTTCCCATGTTTTACCCGGATTCTACCGTCTCTAAAGTCATAGTGTGCAGAGAGGTCAGTACAAAAAGGAAACAGCATCCTCTATGTGAGGGGTTCTGGAAGTGGGGGTCGGGACAGGGGGTCACAGGACACCAAGTGGGGGGCTGGGATGTTTCACTATCATTTGGGTTTTGATAGCTGAGGGATGAGATGGGATGGTTCAATAAATAAATAAATGTGAATGTGCCATGAAATACATAAATTAACCATCAAATAAAAAATGTTTTATTAAGTCCTTTACAGTATCTAAAACCTGATTTCAACAGTAAAAATAGCATAACATTGTAAAATGCACAATAAAAAAATACATGTCAGCTTTAGTTTAGTTATAAAAAAAAATGCAATTAGTATTATGAATGAAACAAGTAAATGTCATTCAAGAAAATAATTTTTAAAACAAGTTTTACTTTTTTAAGTTGATATGCATGATTAATTTTTTTGGGGTGAAGTAATTATATATATATATATATATATTTTTTTTTTTTTTGGAGGGGTTGGGGGATGGGGGGTCATAGGCAGAAATGTGTAGAAACCCCCTGCTTTACATCATACTTTGTCACAACAGTGAGTACTCTTATCAATGCGTGGATGGGTCAACAGTGGAATTACTAAAGCTATAGGTTTCTCCAAAATGATGGCAAAGATCAGATGGAAGCTGTAGAGGAAAGCTGCAGGCATTTCAGGTTGTGGTTTTCGTGTTGCAAAAACTTTTTTCTTTCTCTCTATATATATTTCTGCTCTAAGCAGTTGGAGAATAACAGAGAAGTGTTCTCTTAAGAAAACATTAACGAATCTACAGTGAAACATGGTGGTGGTAGGATGCTGCTGTGGGGATGTTTTACTTATACAAGTGTGTCAGAGTAGATTGGAAGGCGAGGGAGCAAAATATATTATTGAAAGAACTGGGGGTAAAATAGAATGGTATAAAACAAAACAGATTCATTTTGAAATAGAAATTAGATGGTCACAGATAATCTGAGTAAACTGCAATTTATTTCACAAAGAAAAATGTCCTAAAAGAATAATTTTCTTCTATATTTCATTAAATAATACTGAGTCCAAGAGGATAAATGCATTTGCATGCCACATTTGTAGAATAGATTAAAGGAATTTTCTGTATATTTATAAATATGTTAATGTGCTGCAGCGGATAAAACAAATCTTAGTAAAATATATGAACAATTCTGGCTGTAACATATCATGTGATAACTGTAGGTTCTGCACGTTTACAAGGGATTTCAATAAGGCCTTAAGAAAAAAAAGAGCTCAACTCAATGGTAAAAGTCGATTTTTTTCAACAGCCGTTCATTTAAGAGCAGCGCTTCACATTTCCATTAGCAGATCTCTCCCAGTTCCTTTGGGAAAAAAGTTGCGAGCGTAACACAAAGTTCATCAAAACACTGAAAAACCCCACAGAGTTTGGATTCTCTTGTATTGAATCATTTGTAGTTATATGCCTTGAATTTATAAAGTAAAATCAGCCACACACTGATTTACAAATTATTTTATCTATGATTTGACTTTTTATACTCTATGGTGCTAAAAGATAAAACCTTCCTCACTATCGGTGGATTAGTATATCTTATTTAAATGGGCTTTATATACATTTTCTACACTTTTTGCTCTATAGAAATATCTCCTGAGCTGCTTCAGTGTCAGTCTAGGCTACATAGAGTATTACCTGCATATAAAGAGTCTATCCTACCTATCCTGCACTTACAAATGAGGCTAAATGTGCTGAAAATGAGCTCAGTAATCTTTTGAGCCATGTGCATTTTAATGAAGCGCTCCTCACTAAAATCTTCCTCTCCAGTTGTTTTGATGCTCTTTGTGCTTCTATGAAAAGTCACAGCCATTAGTCATGTAACCACGATATCAGATATATTATTTCCATGGATATTTTTTCCACAGAGTCTGTGGTCTTAGATTTCAAAACAACAAAAACCTATTGTGGGAACAATGAGGTTTTGTGTTTCTTTTTAAGTGAAACTAAACGTAATAAAAAGCTATGCATTTTTGGCTCTTTGGTCAGTAAAATATTTCATCTTAGACTTATTTCTACATCGAATATTATAGTAAGTAGGAAAAGATGTTTTTAATTGACGATTTCATATATTTTTATATTTGTATTCTATATCTATAAAAGAGTTGTGAGACCCATGTGGACCTACAGTATGTAAAAAAGAACCCACCCCCCTTTTATGTTATAAATTAATCTTATAAATGAAGTTATGCTTTTTTGTGCATTTTCCCATCCAGGCCTGATTGCTGCCAGACCTGCAGAATTGGCATCATTAAACAGAACATTTCTGACAGTATGAAGTAGGCTAAAATATCTAAAATGTTAAAACATCATGCACTCCAGAATGTCAGTCTGGAGTACATGATTCAATCTAACAGTGATTCTGGGAATAATGTCATCCATAGGAGAGTTAGAAGATTAAATCACTACTGACGAACCTCATAAACACTTATTTTACACAAATAACCAAAAAAATCTTTATGATCCTAGAGACTTTGGAAAAGAAATTCATGAGACAGTGGAGACAAAATGGGTCTCATTATATCTGGCATAAAGCAAAACATCTTATAAAGGCGTATGCTTTTTAAACAAATTTCCTATTTTGTTATAAGATGAGTGCATTGAATTTCCACAACAGAATGATGTGCCTGTAATTTATAGTAAAATTTAAAATTAAATACCCGGTCCTAGATAAGTAGAAGATGGCGAGTAGGAGTAAAAGGTACAAGGGAGACCGAGTGATATGTAATGGTTGGAAAGGCTCAATCAAAATGCTGATTTAATCCCAAATTAAGAATGCACATCTAGAATTGAAAATCTACGATCATAGGTTTCCATCCCGTCTTAATGTGGTTTCAAAAATGCAAATCCCATTATACAAATTTTTGTGTTTAGCATAACATACTCCAAAAGACTTTGTGCTTTAATTCCTGCGGAAAAAAAAAAAAAAAATCTCAACTTCTGCTCTAAAAATGTAAACTACTTTATGTTTGTCCGTCACCAAAGATCGGAATAAAACTGCTTGATGATCAAATGTGGAAATGTTCAAGGAGTTTCAAAATGTACGCGTAGCACTGCAACAGCAAATACCAGCTTTGATTGCTCAGAATTTACATATGACAAAAAAAATACATATATCTTCGGATACATTTTTAAAAGCTTTTCTTGAAGCCGTAAATGATCAATTATCCAAAAGCAGACAACAGTTTTAGTGTCATCTTCCCTTTTTTAAAAGTCTGCTTGGAGGCGTCTCTGAGAGGTTTCCGCATGAACAGATTGCAGTTATTTCCCCCTTCAAGCGCCTCTTGATGTTCACGCTGCACAGATGTTTCCCTCCCAGGAGAGGTCTTCATATGTCAAAGAAGTGTTCTGCCATTCATTTTCATTTGCCGTGGTTACAGAGCAGGAGGCACAAATTGATGAACACCATTCGTCTTGTGCCCATACTTGTGAGAGACCTCTGGAGTCGTCCACACAGTGAATTCCATCATCCACGGAGACGAGGACTGTCTGATGACGTTCACAGAGATGGTCCAAATGATGGCTCCAAATTATACACTGCAGACATTTTTTTTCTTCCAACAGAAAAATAAATCCCTTTCTGATGTCCCCTTTTCACTGCTTCAGGCAGTGTTGATGTGAGCGCAGGCAGGTGCTCTAAGTAAACACATCCTTTACCAACACAGGAAATATTACCATCTATCATTCAAGCAGCAGAAAGAGCCATTTATGAGCAGCAGAGCCGGCCTGGACTCAGCATCACTGTCAATGTGGAGCAAACAGCACTAGACTTGATGAAAGCAAGAACCCTCATATATAAGCCAGCTGCAACACAATGATGTTGGCAAACATGTTTGGACTGTAAAATCTGGTTAATTAAATGTGTTATATTATAATTATTCAGATGCTTAATGTTGCTTTTTAGCACAGAAATCATAGTTATTCCTGTGTACGTCTGTTGTTCAGGAAGGTGAACCTTTACAGGACACAGTCATTAGCAACTTTAGCTAACACCCGTTCATAATAATATCAGTTCACAGAGGTGAAGGACAGACATATCTGGCAGGGCCAGTGTAGTTGGCTCACAACTTTGACCAAAATTTTGACGTTGGCCGGCTGTTTATTTCAACATTATACACCTGCTCTTATAGGTTTGCCTATACCTTTCTCCCCACCGCATGATTCTGCCACCACTGTGCTTCATGCTTTTTGCATTATGTCAAAGGCCAGTGCCTAGGTTGTGTGTTTATCTGTTTTACTGCCTTTGACTGCCGGTTTTGTCTTGCTTGCTGGAGCTCATCTTGGTCCAATCAGGAAATGTTGTTCCTACTCATAGATTGGTATCAGATTTCTTCCTAGATTGTTACCTCTTGATGTTTACCTCCACAAAAACTGGCTGTCCCTCTGTCTGTCCAGGAATCCAGTTCTCCCCTTTATTCACAGGAGACTCAGAATCCCTTCTGTAAATCTCCTCCGCACTTCTCTGTTCGCTCCTTCAGATAAACTGTTTCAATCTTCCTGATCATAAATCATAAAGGCTCTTTCTTCACCGTCATCATCATAATTGGCCCTCAACAGCTTTCCACACATATCTCTCCGC